GGGCAGGGCGCAGAGCCCGGAGCCGGCTGAGCGGAGGCGCGCGTTCAGCCTCGGAGGGAAGGAGAGCGGGCGGGGAGGACGGGATGGAGGAGAAGAAAGAGGACTCTGCCAAGCCCGGGGCTCTAATAAATCAGAGGGGGGAGGCCGGGTCGTGCGGGAGGCCGACTGCGCCCTCAGGACGGGCGGGGAGGAAGGCAAGGGGCAATTGGTCCAAGAAATGGAACAAAGGACAGTGTGCCTGGATTTCTTTGGGGCGAGGCGAGTGGGGTGTGAGTACGAGTGTGCTTGCCAGTGACCTTCTTTCTGGCCAGCAGGGTCGAGGGGAGAGGTGGCAGAACAGGGTGGGGGGGTATGTGTGGTGGCGGCAGGGGGTAGGGAGAGGGAAGGACTGGAGGCAGGAGTGACGGTCGGTGGGGGCGGGAGAGGATGACCGAGGAGACCTTTAGAAAAGTGGGGTGAGCGGAGGTTGGGGGCGGGAGTGGGAGGGCGACTGTCAGGAGCGAGCGAGTCTGGGCTGCCAGGGAAGGCCAGGACGCTTGGCCCAACTCGACCGACCGGCCGGGACTCCGCGCTGGAGGTCAAGGCGAGTGGACCAAGCGCCCTGCACCGGGTGTCGCGCGCAGGTGGGCACAGCCGCGCCCTCGCCAGCGGTGTACACCGAGGGGTTGCGCTAGACACGGCTCGGCCGTTTGTAGAGTCTAGAATTTCCTCTGCTGTACCTACACTCAACAAGTTCACCCCGGGTCACGGATATCTCATTTTTTAAAATGACGAGGTTAAGGTTGCTGGCGAGCTTGGTATTAAATTGCACGGGATGGTGGTGGGGGTGGGAGAGGAAGCTACTCTCAAATCCACACTGGCTCCTAAAAATCGAAGAACATGTGAAGATAGAAGGGTCGTTCTCACTCGAAAACTGTGCCCTGCTTCTACACCCTGATGTCCGATTTCTTGACTCCAGCGAGGGCGTGTATTTTGGTAACCAGCAGGGTATTTTTGCTCTGTCTGTCTGCCTTTGGGTGGAAGGACTATAAATATGATTCGCCTGGAAGACTAGGTGCGAAGGCTGATGCCAGACATGTTGGACAAAGTTCTTTCATTCTCAAGGGCATCCAGCTAATGTATGTCTTGGGCAAGGTTGGGTTTTCCCACCGGTGTTAATTTTTTGCACAGAAGCGAAAGTCAGGCAGGCCCGCAGGTGAAAAAAACTCTTCTCCTCTCTGGTCCTCCATAGAGAATGAAGTTCCAGCTAGACGGTGGATTGCTCTTTCTGGATCATAATGCACTATTCACAAAATTGCAGGAAAATAAAATGCCTTGTCGGGTTCACGCGTGTACAACATTACACAGTTTGAAGGTCTGGTGTTTAAAATAACGCAGGCCACATCTAGGTGCGTTGATTCCCCTACATTTGGGGACTGTCTGGAACATGTTATGTGTTTTCTTGAATTACTCCGTGTTTTGAATTCATTTGAGTTAGCAGTAAAAACAGGCAAACAAACTTGCTCAATTTGTTTTGAGTGCTAAATCCCCTCACTTTGAAATAGCTAACAGTCGACAGATGGACTCATTTTATGGAAAGGGTTAGCCTCTTCAGCCACGAAGAAAACCGATGAGAGATCTACATTTTTAAGCCATTTCTAACCTCCGCATAACATCCGTGAAAACTCAAACTTTCTCTCTTTACCCGGTGGAAACCCAAGGGAGAAAGAGAGAGAGAGAGAGAAAGAGAGAGAGAGAGAAATAAGGGGAAAACATCCACGTGCTGGTTTTATTTTTATTTCCCTTTCGTCTCTGACAATTTTTGTTTCTGGTTGCTGAAATCTTGCTGAGGCAAGAAAATCAGATTTTTCCAACAAGTTGCACAAGTGAAATCTAAAATCACAGCACCCTGGAAAATGTAATCCGAAGAATACATTTTCTGCTCTGCACATCAGCGATGTTTGCGCCCTCTCCGCCCTGTAGAGCAATGGGTTTATGTGCTTCCCCACCCCGCCCCGCGTTCCCTCCCCCCATTATTTTACAGATAAAGAGAAACTGGTAGCAGACCGGCCTCACCCTCAGCCGATGGCAAGGATGGGCAGATCTCTCGGAAAAGTAGGAAAAGAGTGCGAAAGTCAGAGACAGGAAGATTCAGAGATGCGCTGAGAGACAAGGGAAAGAGAAAGGCAACCGCGCCGAAGAGACGCGCAGATTTGCGCGTGCCTCCCTACCCCCCCCCTTCAGGACTCCCGGCTTTGCAAACCAAGGCTGGGGTGTAGGGGCTCCAGAAAGCTCACGTTTCCCTCGCCCCCTTCTGTCTGGAGTCTCGCCGCCAGGAGCTAGTTAACCCCAGTCCCGAACGCTGCAGACACCGAGCCGAGCTTTTGGGTCCTCGCCTCGCCCAGCGCCAGTGCAGCTGAAGTGAGCAGCTGGTGGGAAATGCAAATGGCTCCAGGAGAAACAGAAGATACAGAATGATTCTCATTCCCCCCTCGAGTGTGTGGAAGGAGCTGGACATACGTTTCACGCTCCTAATCCTTCTTTTACATTTTTAGTCATACTCCTATTAAACAACTAATTAATGCCCAGAACCACCAGGGAATACATTAGGCGTTCAGCGGAGAGGCAGGGTGCTGGAGGCTACATAAACCACCGAGCTGATTTAAGTCGTGGATTTCAGGTTTTTCCCTCGTCAAAGCAGGAATGGGAGTGTGGGCCGTGGCAATTGTATTTAGATTCCGATTACTTCAAATTAGAAGGGGGTGGAGGGAGCGCCCAAGCCCAGCGAGCAATCCCCTGCCCTGCAGATGTAAACAAGATTGTAGCATCAAAGGTAGCAGTTCCTTACCGGCCAGATCCCTGGGCTGGGAGCCGGGGTGGGAAGACACTGACCTTAGGTATCTGTGAATTTCAAGGATGTTACAGTTTTACATAAACAACTCGGGTGTGGATCTTCTGGTAATCCCTGGTGAGACTCACTGTTCTAGAATAGCTGAGCGTTTTTTTCCTTCTCAGGAAGTAGGTACCCTTTTGACTTTTCCAGATTTTTGAACTGTGTCTAAAGAAATTGCCTTCCAGTAAACCAGGGCACTGGACCCTTCCCCCAGCCAGTCCTTTTTCAGTTATCTGATTTAATATCTGGGGTGGGGGTTGGGGACGCAGGAAATAAAATAGAGCCACAAAATCAGTGTAGGAAGAGTGGAGCTAGGTAAATGGGTTCAGATAATTTCTGGTGTGAACCTGAATTTTCGCCTTCCTTCTAATATTTTGAAGTGACAGAAGTTTTAGAATAAGAATCGAATGGCGAGGCTCAGGGAAGACACACGAGTTCATGGTCCAAGCCGAAGTGACCGGCCGCCAACGCGCTTTCACCCACGAGTCAGGCTTTGGGGAAGGGCGCAGCATTATTGCAGGGCCAGTCTGGGAGGTTGTGTGCTACCATTTACTTTCTTCACTCTGGAGTACGATCTCAACCCTGGCAAGCAATTTCCTCAGCTCCTTATCTGACAACAAGCAAGTATGTAAATACCAGTGACTAGAGATGTTTAACTGCCTCAAACATTATTGATTTGTTGGCTGTTCTAAATTTTCTTCTCAGTGCAAGTCTTGTTTCCGAATTGTCAATTCAGAATGTTTGATCCAAACCTCCGATGGTACAAAACAATAATTGTTTTTTTTTAAAAAGACATTTAAGATGAACCAATTGATTTGCATATAAATTAAAACGACTCTGCCTCGCTTATTCCGGTGTTTTATAATCATTTCGAAATTAGTATTTAACCACTTGAGCTAAAAGAATATATAAATGTCTGTATTGACTCACTAATGAATTGGCTAATTAAACCGTCCTTGGGATGCTGGGCTCTGGAAAGATTGTTAAATCAAGACATATCAGGGGGAGGATGGATCGTGGGAGGGGAAGAAACCAAGGTTTGGAACTCAGAACCTTTAATTTAGGGGCTCTGGTCTTTCTGCTGTCAGGCTTTTTGTGTTCGTTTGCAAGTTAAGTGGGGAGCAAGGAGCGCTCGGGTGTCCGCGGTCGCTCAGGCCCTGTGCTGGGGCCGAGACCTTTAGCGCTAAAGCTTGGGCGAGCTGGGCCAGGCCGGAGGTGTGTGGCCCCGCGGGCGGCCAGAACAACCTTCTCCCAGAGCCCGTCGGGCTGGCAGGGCCGGCGGCTGCGCACCCTCCGCTCGCGAGGAGAGCTGAAACTCGAGCCGACTTTTAATAGATATGCTAACTGAGCACTTACCTTCGTCCTGAGAATAGGAATAAAAGGTAGCTCTTCTTAAGAGAGGCGGTGCAAAGGCACGCTAGGAGTTCAGAAAAGGCTGGCGGCGGGGAAATCTGTAGCCTGGGGGCTCGCCAACATCCCCTTTCATTTCAAGCACGTATTGATTTGCTGTTGACATCTTTGGCGACGCAGAAGGACACTTGAAAGAATTTCTGATGGGTCTCTGATCTGAGAAAGGAGGTGACCTGCCCAGGCTCTCCCCACACCAAATTCTTAATTACCACATCAACTGCCTTTTTTTTTTTTTTTTAATCGCCTCCACCCTCCTCCTTCCCCCACGGCAACTGAGTTTGCTTATACTTAACTTTTTAATCATTCAGAAACTTCCTTACCTTACCTCTCCTTGGCTTCCATTTTGCAGCAGATTTCTGTAGCAAGCAGTCTCCTGACCCCTTTCCCATGGTAGGGTCTGCCTATTGATCCCTCTGACCTTTGGCACATATGGGCCTTCCCAAATCTCTCAATCTTTTTAGATTTGAGGATGGAAGGCTCCGCCCTCTGCCTACTGCACACA